CTCACTACACCATTTGGCTCCGAGAGGCGACTCATCTTTAGAGACCGTAGTACATGATTTCGCTCCAAGCGATTTTGAAACATCTTCTGAGGTCTTTCAACATCAACTGGCTCCTGGTAACACTGAGACTTCTCCGGGTGTCTCCCAACACTCAGTGGCTTCTAGGGGTGACATAGAGACATCTGTATAGAACATGGTTCCACCTGCTTTAAGAGCAGAAGAAAACATTATTGAAAATGGACAAAATTCACCTGCCAGAGATACGCCCTTACAGCACTCTTATAATCTCAGAAGTAGATCGAAAAGAAACTAAACGGGGGGGGGGGGGGGGAATGTTGTGTATTTATATTTCCTGTTGTGTGTTGTAAACTGATCTGTTCTAGTGTGTCAAAATGTCATGGTGTCCAGGTCAGCTTGTGTGTGTGTGTGTTTTGTGTTATTGTGAACTGTTTTGTCATTCTTGTTCAATAAAGCCTAGCTTCTAGACATGTCTTCCCGTAGTGTTTTATAAGGTCACTACAGATACCAGAGCATCATTTAGTACTAGTTCCCAAAGTTACGATAAAAATGTTAGCGTTGCTGTTACAGTTCCCACGATAGACGCCGTTGTGAGTGAGATTGTCAGGCTTAGAACCAGATTGGACCAAAACAATCTTAACTGCGTGACGTCACACGACAATGAAATCGCCGACTTTCATCTACTAAAAGAAAATATAAGCTCATTAGCGAATCAAACGTCAAACCAAGAAACTTGCTAGTGATGTGGCAGCTCTGCAGCAGTAGCGCCCTCTGACAGGCAACGAGAATCTTCTTTGGTATGTTAAGGGCCTTGAAAGTATCTGTAACGTCAGTTGTAATTATCTCCTCAGTAGATATAACATTAGGATAGTTATTTTAGACAACATCCATAGCCGGTTAATCTCCAAGCTTAGGTTTTTATAGTTCCTTTGTATTCCCATCTTGGTTTCCCCCTTATATTATGGGATAGATGTACGGCGTTTTCAATAATAGTATCGTGGGTTTTTTTTTCAGTTTTTTTTGTTGTTAATAAACAGCAGATCGGAGTAATAGGATATTCTTCTAGTAATTTTTTGCTCTTATTAGTTTTCTCATGAATATCTGTAAACAATCCGCTCTCAGGGTATTTAAGGAAATACATTCATTATTATTCTCTGGTACTGCCAGGTCGAGCTCCGTTCACGGGAAACAAAATTCATTGCAGTCCCTCTGATAGTATCCACTTAAAAATTTTTCTGGTGATGCGGCAGGTCTGAGGCAGTACTGTCCTTTGACATGTAATAAGTGTCCTCTTAAGAATACTTATGGCTTCGAATGAGATTTATTTCTCTTAGGGGTGTATGGGGTATCCAGGAGGGGTAGCACTTCTAGTGGACAGGCAGTCGTACCCTCTTTTTGAGGGTAGCTTGGCTCACTCTTGGTCCCCACTCGGTACCCAACTCTCACCTGTGGCTTCCAGAAGCTGTAGCATGCCCAGCGGCCACACCCCGGAAACGGCTTTGACTGGCCGGCTAAACCAGGTAGAGGGTATCTGACGTGTCCATGGCACTCGGTACACTGAGGTTCTTTCACTGAGGTTCTGAAGTCTGGACTTGGCGGCCTGTGCGTAACGTCACAAAACTAGACTAATCGGACAGAAAGGCAAGTACCAGCACAATGCTGTGGAGTACTCAAGAGCAGGACAAGACACACAGAAAGTCTCTGGTCATCCACTGCACCCAAACTTGTCCCCGGACGTCTTGACCAAATCTTGCTTCCGGAAAAGGACGGGCTTTAGGGCGAGAGAGTGAGGTCGACGTGTTGCGCGAATTCTCCTCACTTTAATCCATATTCCAGCGCAAGTCACTTGTCATCCCCCCCCAAACACCTTTATGACAAAGTGGTCATCATCGAACCACGATGGACGAACTATATATTTCACTTTTTCTATGTAAAACTAAGTTAATTAATTATCACGAAGTAAATGACTATATGTTTAATTTTTGTATTGATTCATATTTTGCTAGAAACAGTAAATAATAGTACAAACTTTCAAGTTGATCTGTGAATGGGAAGCGACGTTTTTAAAACGAGTACCAGATAGACAGAGAGAGAGAGAGAAAGTTGATATTAGTTTGTAAAGATGTAAAAAAAAATGTTAAAACAAAGATAAGTAGGTTTGGCTAAACACTGTTTCATGTACCTTCATTAGCCTAATATTTATGAGAAGAGTGTGCATGCAATACAATGACTTATCTGTAACTGCTGTAGTCTCGGGTTTCGTAAAGCAGATATCTTTGAGGTATCTCGTATTGAGATCTCAGTAGCCAATGGTCTATTGATGGTCTGAACCACACACTACATTTTGATTTAATTATATCTTTTTTTTTCAAGGTTTCCATTTTATTGTCTAATTATGTTGTTTTTTTTTCTCAGGAGCCATTCCAACTATCAGTGTAGAACCAAATGACATCACAATTGGTCTAACTGAAACTATGCATTTGGAATGCTTCGTCAAAAACCAAGACTTATCTGCCGCTGACAATCTCATATCTCTAGTTGTATCACACTCCGACAATTTGTATCTACACTCGTTTACTAATATCGCTTCAGTCAGCAGCTTCAATGGGGTCCATACAAGTTTGACCAGTTCCCACGTCCGCGTCGTAGGTAGCATCAACCGGAATGGACTTTCTTCATTGAACATCACCTGGAGCTATCCTCTTCTACAAAACTCCGGCGTATATAAATGCCAAGCGAATGAGATCGATGAATTAGGTCAACCCATCACTTACGATAAAAATTTTAGCGTTGCTGTTAAAGTTCCCACGATAGACGCCGTTGTGAGTGAGATTGTCAGGCTTAGAAACAGATTGGACCAAAACAATCTTAACTGCGTGACGTCACACGACAATGAAATCTCCAACTTGAATCTTCTAAAAGAAAATATTAGCTCATTAGCGAATCAAACATCGTTGCTAAAAGATAAATGCGAAACTGACTTGGTACATTTACAGAACTTGGAAAGTCAAAATAAAATACAGTTAACTAGTGTTGAGAACTCAGTAAAGTCCGTAACACTTAAGTACGACGATTTACTGAATAGATTAAACGGCTTTAAAACTGAGTTCTTTAAAATTTCACAAGTTTTTGGTGGGAAGAAATATTTATTGACCAGAGAATCGTCTTTCTTCTACCCTATCTTCGCCCAATCCATCTGCTCGATCTACGGAGGCTACCTAGTGGAGGTGAACTCACCCGAGGAGTTCACATTTTTGAAAGCATTTTTGACCTCAGAAGCGGCAAACTCCGATTATATATTTACCGGGGGAACAGATGAAGGTCACGAAGGTCATTGGACATACAAGCACAGCAATTCGACTTCCTTAGTTTCACTGTGGCAGCATGGCCAGCCCGACAACTATCAGGGTCAAGAAAACTGCGAGGCTTTTACCAAGCTGTTTGGGTGGAATCTGAATGATGCCAATTGCACCTTTGCCGCAAATCCTGTTGGTTTTATGTGTGAAATTACGGCATAGATAAATATGAATTGAAAAGTAACTTAATTAAATAATCTTAGTGATAGGACATTGTAATGATGTAGTCTTTAATAATATTGCTATAAAAATCTATGATTAAATAGACGTGAAATGTCGTGGACACATGACAGTTTGAGATACTCTTAATTAGACATTTACAGAGAAACAAAAAAATGTCGATGGCAAGTAACTGAAAAGGTAGAGGTTGATTGTCCATTCTCTTGTCTAGTCCAGGTTCTGTTAGATGTAGAATATTTAATATGTTGTGGGCTGTGTATAACAAACCCGTAGAAGATTTGTTTCTTTAGACTGAACTAATGCTTGCTGTGAAGTTGCCTGTGTTTCATATGTTTAGATTTATATAACCCCCCATTCCGCTTCAAGCTGAAAAAGCGTGTAAATTATTTTCCTATGTGGAAAGCGTGGTCTAGAGGCTAAGAACGCTTTAACTAACCCTGTGAAGGTGCTCGATGTTCGACACCCGACTCGAGCACAGTTGTGTTTGCTGAGCGCCTAAAGGCAGCACGGAAAACCTTATCCCAGATACCCCCTCCCCCACTGGTCCACAAATGAGATTGGACCATAGCGCTCTGAGCATGCTATAAGCATTTAAATAGCGCTATATAAAAGCTATAATTATTATTATGTAATTCTTTCAATCAAGTTATTGCTTTGAGTTTTTCAAATAAAAAAAAAATTAATACATTGATAAAGTAAAAAAAAAAAAGGTGAACAGAAAAATTCTCTGAAATGGTTGAAGGACATTATCCAAAAGTCATAGAGTTGAGACTAAGTCGACAATATTGGATAGTTATAGAATTGAGACTAAGTCCCTTCTAGCACGTCCCAGAAAGCGTGAAGAGTTTTTTTAAGGGTCTGTTTATCCTCGGTCATAACTGAGCTTTCTCTCGTAACCTTGCTTACCCCCTCTCTCATGTCTCAGGTGCATGAGGCGACAATGTGTTTCTTTTCTCCAGTGGCGGCATCGAGAATAGAAAGGCCGTCTTAATTGGGTGGCTGCCTGGTCGAGCGGTACAATACAATAATGTTGCCATTACCCAAAGGAAAAGCGCTTGGCTACCGAACCGGGGTCCGGGGTTCGAATCCTGGTGAAGATTGGGATTTTTCATTTCGGGATCTTCGGGCGCCCAGCTCTAATGGGTACCTGACATTAGTTGGAAAAAAGGAAAAACGGTTGGTCGTTGTGCTGGCTACATGACACCCTCATTAACCATAGGCCACAGAAACAGATGACCTTTACATCATCTGCCCTATAGACCACAAGCTCTAAAAGGGGAGCTTTACTTTTTTTTTTACCTAGGAGCGCATCAGTCTGACTTCAATGCAGAGGGTTATACCTTTGTCTTTCCAGATTGTTATTAGCTTCGCCAGCTCATACTACTGATAAATGCATGCACATATCCCATTAGAATAGCATGGGGAAAAAATACGAAGAAGTCATAATTAGGTTGAAACATGTGTTAATTCTATCTGACAGTTATGGTGTTCAAAATATTTACAAGAAACATACGAAACAAAATCAAAAATATAATAAAAGATTTCATTGAAATAAATTATATTATTATATTAACGACTTAAACGACATTTTGGGAACATGGTGTTAATACAAAACACAAAGAAATAACAAATGTCTGATACAACAAACAAAGAGCATTTTTCTCTACTTTGCATAAGCTGAATAAGTAACAGAACTATACAAACTAAGAGTGCGGTAAAAGTTCAGTTCTATTTATCATAATTACGAATCAATCCAAAAAATCTTGCACTGCACTCATAACGGAAGAATACTAATCTATTTATAGATCACTGCAGTTAAAACAACTATCAGTTAATATATTCTAGAAATTTCTAATGTCAACTACAAAATAACAAAAATAAAAAAATTAAATGTGCAGAATTGACAAGTTCAAAGTTACGTACCAGGTTTTTTTTGCCAAAATAGCTATGACTGATTTTGTCTATATCTTTTCTTAAAAGTTACGGACATTCCATCTATTATGTCATTAGTATTCCTGGCTGATTCAGGCAACTCCTAGCATATTCTTTTTACAATGTCGTCGGTATTCTTAAGAAAACATAGCAGACTCTTCAGTCGTCATTTCTATTCATTTAGCCTATACATTAAGGTGCCCCTGTAAAATCTTTAAGGGCCTGCTTGACTTAATTAGCAAAGAGAAGTACTTCTGGCAGTAAAAGACTTCAAGTAGAGAGAGTCGGAGGTCTCTCACAAAGTCTGCGGGATACACACTGGTAACTAAAATGAAAGCTACAGCCACAGACAGAAGTGGACAGCCAAAAGAGAAATTATATCGGCCACCAAAAGTTTGTCAGCGGAGAGACAGGCAAAATATATAGGTCATAGCTAGGTCTGTGTAGCCACGTGAAATACTTCCCTGCTTATTAACTCGGACTAGAAGACAAGAAATATTGTTATAATTATTATTAGTATTGGCGCCTTGTTGTCATACCAGATCAGTGTATTGCGTTGCTTGGCGTAACAACGTAGCTGACCACTTGATCAGATGAATTCCCTGATTTCGACCAGTAACCCAACACGGTATTCCTACTAAAAAAAAATAAGAGTCGCCCTTGACCAATAGAAAGGCTTTGAACTAATGGTAAACAAAAATTAAGACACGAGCATCCATTGGACAAAAGCAACGAAGTGTAAATGACCAGGAGTGGACATTTAATTCAACTGACGAATCATGGTTATGACCAGCCACAAAAGTGTGCTTCTATATCAGCAGCAGTCTTACAACTCCCTTGCATACGGGAAATGAAACCTTTGGATTCTAAACAGTCTCCGTTGGTCCAATAAAATAGATTTCCTACGTTATATCTCAGATAATAATAAACAACCTTGTCTCAAAATAATTGAAACAATCGAACAATGAGTTGCTGTTTTTTAAATAAGACTAGGAACTTTAACTCTTTCTCTTCGTAATTATTTACTACATTCTGGTGGAATCAACGCTGGTATCGTCAGTTAGGAGAGAAAGAGTTAAAGAGGGATAATTTCTATTTACAAGAACAAAATGTTTACAACTGATATTTTCGCTTTTTTTACTTCTTAGAGTATTACACTAATCACATGAGTATTTTTTTGTTTTTTCTTTACTTCGGTGCGGAGCAAAGGGTAATTTTACTCATCTTTACTCATTACTACATAATAAAATTAGAACCGATGAAGCAAAGATAAATGGAGTTTTTTTTTTTTTTTGTACAAACATGGTAATGATAAAAAGTTCTTAAAATACGTACATAATAGAGCAGGGGTTTTTAACATGTGGGTCGTGACCCCTTTTTCGATTGACGATTTGTCAGGGGTCGGCTAAGACCATCGAAAATATGGATTGTTTTTGTATATTCTTCTATTGCTGTATGTGTGGGGGGGATTGTAAAAAAAGGGGTCGCTGGGCTTAAATGGTTGAGAACCGCTGCAATAGAATATATCTTCCTAAAGACAATATATAAAGATTTAGGATTATTCAGATCTAGTAATTTTGTTCATGGTTCAAAAAACTGTGAAGTGTTTTGTTTTTGTTGACGCTCTGACCTTTATCTAAATGTTCATTTGATCGTTTATGATAGCGATTCAAATTAGGTCATTAGTGTTTCTGTATGATTCAGGCAACCCGTTCCAAGCTCGAACAGTATTTGAAATGTTATTTTAGTAGTTAGCCTTAGCATCGAGGACAAGTAATATTTTTGTGTCCTTATGTCATTTGTTTTGTTTTTTTTTCCACCTCATTCAATGGTCACTTTTTTAAACGGTTTGTTTTGTAAGCTTTATCCATAAGAAAAACACTTTTCATTTATTTAACTTTTATAACCAAACGATATTAGCTCATGCTCATCCATATAATATAGATGCCTATTGATTACGAAACCACCTATATACCACGACAGGCTCGCAGTGGCGTAACTAGGATGGGGGAAAAGTCCTAATTCCAAAATCCACCTGGGCCTTGAGAGTTCCCAAAAATTAATGTCCTATTTTTTTTTTACATTAACTATTACGCCACTACCTTGAAATCTTGCTATTCACATGGAGTCAAAAAATAGATAACATTAGTCTACATAATGTTAGAGCTTAGATGACCTTTGCCGCACAGAAAACACGACGTGAAGCGATATGAATTGAGATTTGTCCCTTGTGCATTATCTGGCCAATAAACAAAAGTTATTCATTAACAGAGTCGTTATGATTATTTTATGTTAATTCTACTTACATTCTGTATTGGAATTTAGACTTAAATATCTGTTAAGTACATTATCTCATGTCATGATGTCGAATGTCAAAAAGCAAGGGACATCTAAAAAGGTAAAAGCTTTCATCCGGGCCCCCAAATCCGTAGCTAGCCACTGAGGCTCGTATATAAATGACATATTTCATTCCATCGTCATACTCAGTCTTTCCTAATCTTCGACTTTTGAAGAGCATCAAACCAGGTATCTTTTAAACGGTGACCTACATTGTTGTTAACGCTAATGTATCTCTATGGTATTGCTGGGCAGAAACAAATCATTTCAAAAGTCAACATTGTATAGCCACTAATTAGACCTCATTAACTATAACAATAAAAACTTTTAAACTTTTAAACTGCACTTGTCAAGTTTTCATTAAAATACTTTTCTAACTATTCATCAAAAGAATGTCGTCCCATTGCAAGTATTTTACACAGGGAACAATTTTCACTTTAATCCAATAGTGTTTCTAATTTAGTTCATGTCTTTTTATTGCTAGACACACATTTAAGCTTTCGTAAATAGTTGTGTCTAGATGTCGACCCTATTTTGTTATACTGCAGTCTCATTAAATTTCCATACACCGGACACAGGCCTGATGACGTCGCACGGAACACTGGTCGAAGAGGTGACCCTGTCTTCCGACCTCGACCTCCATTTCCCAGGTTGATTTCTGTGAGTTTCTCTTGACCTGTCAAACGGAAGCTGAAAAGTAGGACACAAAAAACATAAGCAGAATATTCCAATACTTGCAGATAGTTCGGGACAACCAGGTCTTATATGTCACGTCACACCAATAATACGTTAACCAACACTGTTTCACAGATATTGCTAGACAGACATTGCTAGACAGACATTGTTAGACAGACATTGCTAGACAGACATTGCTAGACAGACATTGCTAGACAGACATTGCTAGACAGACATTGCTAGACAGATATAGCTAGACAGACATTGCTAGACAGACATTGCTAGACAGATATTGCTAAACAGATATTGCTAGAGTAACTAGAAAGGCTGGACGATTATTGCTAGACCAACATTGCTAGTAAAATATTGCTAAACAGACATTGCTATACAGATATTGATAGACAAACATGGCTAGAGAGACATTGCTAGACACATACTGCTAGGCATACATTGTTAGACAGACATTGTTAGACATTATTACGGTATTACCGTATCAAAATGAATTTTACTTAAAAATGAATTTTTTTTTCTCCTAGACTCAAACTGTCCAGGGTAAGGTTTGAACTCCGTCTCATCATAACAACAGTTCGTAAAGCAACGCGCGATCCCCCCCACCGTCATCCAAAGACTCTATGTGTTATGGTTTTAATAGACACATTAACAGTTTGATATGTTTATAAAAAAAAAAACTGTAAACACCATGGGTCTAGGGTTGGGAAAATATGTAGGTCAAAGCTTGGGCTGCACGTCGCGGGAAATACTGCATTCCTCATTTAATCTTCGGACTCGAAGACAAGTCTTATTATTATTATTTGGGATTGCGATTAAAATGAAAACTAAGATTTGAATTTTGGAGGTTTTATTTTTTTTATTTTTTGCTTCATTCGATGCCACAAAGTTGTAATGGGTCCCTGACATTTTTTTAAATAAAAAAAAGGTATATGTGTGTGTGTGTGGGGCGGAGTTCTGGTAAAGAAGCTCAGGAGAATGTAGGGCCATCCTAAGCATAAGAGGCGCTTTATTGAGGTTGCAAATGGGGCAACCGTCCCAGGTGGAGCCCCGCGATAGGACATTACCATGTCATTTTGAGTTGGTCGGAAACCAGATCAGTTCTCTTACTTAATATTTTGGAAGCCTTTCCTGACATGTATTGGATACCCAATCACCTTACCCGACATGTATTGGATACCCAATCACCTTACCCGACATGTATTGGATACCCAATCACCTTACCCGACATGTATTGGATACCCAATCACCTTACCCGACATGTATAGGATACCCAATCACCTTACCCGACATGTATTGGATACCCAATCACCTTACCCGACATGTATTGGATACCCAATCACCATACCCGACATGTATAGGATACCCAATCACCTTACCCGACATGTATTGGATACCCAATCACCTTTCCCGACATTTATTTGATACCAATAACCATGAAAGTTCTTAACATTACATTTCCGCTTTCAAAATATATTGCCAGTACCTTTGTTGCTTCTTAAGGCACTATGTTTTGTAAAAATATTAAGGCCTACAGCTTTAGAGGCAGACGAGCCCATTAGCGTGATGTGGTAAGCTTATGGCTCCCGAGGGCGCGCGTATGACATTCGCCGGGGGCCCCGCGTACTTCTAAAGCCGCCTCTACATATATTAAGATTGACACCAAACATTTATACAAATTTTGGGTTGCACACTTTTTCTCCTCTTCCATCGTGAACCCTGCACGAATGAATTTTTTAACTTAAAAGTCTTAAAGATCAGTAGATTTACCTCTGTTAAATATTCTTTGCTCTCTTGGTCAAGGCTTTCCGATGGGTCAACGTCAACTTCAGGCAAAGGCTCTGATATTGAAGTAATAGTGTGGCCAGTAAAGTGAACGTCGGGGACCTCTGTTTGTATAAAAAGTGGAGATGGTGGCCTCACCTCATTGATTTTGGTCGCGGCGCCGCTGGTTTTCTTTTTAAACACCGGTTTCAACTTGCCTTTAACGGCGGCAAAGATGTCTGCAGGGGTGAATCCGGTAGGAGCAGCTGGCGGCATGACGGATACGCCCACACTGGCGATTGTTGAGCCAATGGTGGAGTCCAAACTGCAGGATTTTTTAAAGAACTTCCTCTTTTCTTTAGCTCCGTGTTTAGAAGTCGTGGAAGATGAAGTGGTTGACGTCACGATGGTAGAGATGGCAGTTTCTTGCGTGGCATCAACTGTGTCTTTAGTTGGCGTCGGCTTGGAAGCTTCAGCGCTTGGTGTTTCCATCGATGCCTGGAAGTGGCTGAAATGCATTTGATCATCCCAAGATGCAGATGTTCTAATGCCTCCTTTCTGGAAAAGAGGCTCTAGTTTTGAGACCACGAGGCTGTGCTCTTCTTCTGCCTCACGCCTCACCTCGTTGGGATCCGGAAGTGACTGTTGCCTTAAGTGCAAACTCGAAGAAACGCTCCTTCGCTCAGGCCACGACTGGTAACCCAATTGAGAAGAGGCTGCTGGTGTTGTGGAGGAAACTGTTAGCTCCTCGAAAAATTTACGCCTCGCTGTTCTTGGAGAGAAGCGATCACGAGTAGAATGGGAAAACGAGGACGATCGAGGAGGTACAGCGCCTGAGACAGAGAGAAAGTGTTCCGAGGGAGAGGATATCACAGCTGAGGTGGACAAGGAAGAAATCATTTCTGCGCATGTCACTGGTAGATTTGGTGTATTGTTGGTGGAAAGGATGGATGGTTCAGGCCTCTCCGTAACCTGAGGAGAGAGAGGGGCACTGTCCACAGACAGGCTTTTTAAGAATGTCACTGGCCTTTTTGGTTTGACAGTTGTTGTAGAGGCTGAAGACGGAACAGATGTCAAAGGCTTTGTTTGTGTTGATGGATAGGAAATAGGGAATTTTACACTGGGAATGACGTAACTAGGAGGTGGCGTGGGAAGTCCCGATTTTCTTGAAGGTAATGTGTTTGATATCACTGGGCTGCTTTCGGGAACTACCGGTGTCGTAGCACGAGAGTTTTGAGCGCTTCTCGAGCCCGAGGAATAGGAAGGTGGGCGTTCGTGGTAAGGCGAGGCTTTGTCGAGGTTAGGTAAAGTAACGGGCACTTCCGTAGCAGGAACTGGAGCGATGTCCTTTTCACGGTTTGAGCTGATCTCTTCAGAAGCTGAGGCAAACTCTTTCTGAGCTTTTGGCATAGTGTCAAGGGAGGTCGACTTCTGGTGTGTTCCTGACTCCTGCACCAGGCGAGTGACGCCTTTGGACTCCTCTTCGATCCTCGTGGTCCTTGTCGTCGTTGTGGTAACGACGTCAGCGATGACGAAGACATCATTTCCCACGTGACGTTTATCACAGAATTCGCTTTTAAGCAGGTCAACTTCAGAACTGCATATCCTTTAAGAGAAGAACAAAAAGTGTGACATTGTTAACCATATGAAACAAATGTGTAGGAAAAAGTTCATTTCTTTTACATTTACCAGCTACGACACTTTTTTGAACTGTTTTGATGTTTGTATACTAATATTTATATGTAGCAATTTGTTCCCCATAAGGTCTAAGAGTGCAATCCAAGGCTAAAAGGAACACACTCATGAATTAGCTGGCTCGATTTCCAATAATAACATAATTCGAGATTCGACTTACATTTTGTTCGCTGAACACATGAAGGCAGCATGATAACCCTAATTCAAATCTTACCAATATAGTGTTTGGTTTTTAGCCACTTTATATCGATTACCATATATCTTTTAAATAATAGAAGTTAAAATAATTATTACGTTATTGAATTATCTCTGTTTGAAAATTACATACTTATTATATACACATTAGAACTCTACTATTCCTTGGTAATCTTTACTCATTCGGAAAACCCGCTTAATGCTTTAATAGCTCATGGGAAGAAAGAATTCTTATTTGAATTTATTCTAGTTTTTAAATAAGAAATTTGTCTTTGTGTCTTTTTGATATATTATTGCGCTATATTTTCATCTTAGTAAGCTTATTAAGTGTTTCATGCGCTATTGCCTCTCTACTTTTTAAGTCTTCAGCCTTTAATTGTGTCTAGAATTGAGTGATTTAAAAACATTGATGC